GTGACCACATGTGGGTAGGCTTGTTGGTTAGGAATTATGTAGCCTTAGTACCCCAGCCCAATATATTCAGTTAGGAATTAATAAGGATATATATTCTCAGCAGGTCAGGCTAGGAATTAATAAAGTTATACTAGTTGAAAGTGACGATAGAAAGAACAAAAGGCAACTTGGGTCAGATAAATGTCTAGCTTATGTAATGGTTCAGTCCAGGGGTAAATTAAATATGTAAAGTTCACCTTGCAATTTAGATTGTTAATCGGATTATATGCATGATGATATCTCTTCGATTATTTTGGTCAAATACCTTGAGCCAAGGATATTATTGCGACAGGCTTATCGTTAGTGCAGTGCGAGAGTAAGTATTCTTAGATTCTCATGCTAACAGTAATATATTTTGATCGTTTTCTATGGTTGAGAAGATATATATGGTCGATGCAGGATTGAATTTATTTATTTGTGGATACCAGCAGCACCCATGTGTGGATGTTCAGCAGGGTGTCGACAACTGTGATTTCACCATCTCTGCACCATCCCGAGGTGTTGTGTCCGCCTCTCCTTCCTCGGTAGAATATGGTAGTCGGTCAGATACCGGCAGCTCCTATGTGTGGTTGTTCAGCAGGGTGTCGACAACAATGATTTCCCCATCTCGAGGTATATTTGATCTCGCAAACCCATCTCTAATATGATTACTAAATTTATTGTTTTGAATTTCGCTAATTTCCTTCCATGGCTAATATGTGTTCAAATGCTCCAGATTATATGGTGGAAAGAGGAGGCATAGAGGGGGATGGGGTGGGAAGAATTGAGGATGAGAGGAGGAGGTGGAGACCCTGCCGACGTATTGGTGAAAAACAACCTCCCTCACTTTCTGCACCATGGGTTATCATCTGAAATCAATTTTAGAGGAATCAGGACCTCTTCTTTTCTCCTTTCAATAGTTCCTCATCTAAAATTGTTTTAGAGGAACCAGGATCTGGTTCCTGGTTTGACTTTGTCGCCTTTGTTGATGATCATATTCTCCTTATGGTTACCTGAGTCTTAGTTTGACCTTGCCGTTTTCGGCTCGAAGGTTGTTGACTACGGTTGGGCTGTCAAGTCTACCAAACGGAGGGACGGTGAAAATTAGATATGATTCTTATATATTGTTTTCTAAATCAATAGCGCGAATCAAGCGTGTGAGCATGGTATTTGCACTTGTGTCTTTCTTCAGAGAGGCACGAAAGCGCAAGGGTTGTGACGTGTAAGGGTTTAATCAAGGAGACGACTTGGTCGAGCTATCAAGTATTAGGCTATAGCATGACTAAGTAGGTTTATTATATCGCATTGCATCTCGCTTGATCAGACCTTTTTTTAGGCGGTCAACATCCATTATACAACATAAAAAACTTAGAAAAGCTACAAATTATAAGAATTACAAATCTGAAATAAATAACTAAAGAATCACAATTTTGATTTATTAAAAACATCTATTGCCACCCCGCAAAAAAAAACATCTATTGCCCTCCTTTATTTTCTCTTTTGTTGTGTAATTGTTCTATTGTAATTAGTTGAATCGGTTCAATTCTTGCCCCCATATTGAAATCAATCGAGATTGATAGGGAGTTAGTTAATGATGTTTGAGCGTGTACTTTTTTATAGTGTCTAAAAGACATGCCACAACTTATTCTATTTGTTATGTCCTCGCTTGCTTTTGGACTAACGCCTTAGTTGCCTGGAACTAAATATGTATAGCTTGCTTTTGGACTGAAGCTTCCGGGACCAATTGCTATGTACTGAATTTGTATGTATTGATGTAATGCTTCTGATATAAATTTGATATATTAGATTGACAAACACAATTATATTATGTTATTTTTTATATTTGCAATGCTTCAGTAAGTGTATTATTGATTGGGTATGATTATGCCTGGCAGCATGGCTGCCGGGTGCGGCATTTCCTACCTAGTCATTGAATGTATTGAAGCAAATTCGTTTTTCTTGTTCTTCGGGAAGAGCCTCTGTTTCATGGGCCCAGGGCTACCTGATTCCTACATTTAGCCCAACATCTTGCCAGCGACATGCCACCACCACTCACTCACACCGGCCGCCGCCAGCCAGCACTCCTCAGAGCATCTCCAACAGCCGCGCTAAACTAGCGCCGCGCTGCAAAATAGGACGTTTTTGCGCGCGCGTAACGCGGCGGGTCGCTCAGCGGGCGCGCAAAAAACGGCGCGTGCGCTATAACGGGTTGGGCGCGCGGACAAAAACGCTTAGCCACGCGGTGTATTTAGGGCGCCAGCTGCAGCGCGCGGCACACTCCAGCGCTCGCGCCCGCACATCCTCTCTCACTTCCACCCCCCGTCCGGTAGCGCCGCCGCCGCCGCCCGCGTCCCCGGCGACCGTTCAAGCTTCCCCGGCTTATCCCCGCGCGCCCGCGCTTCCACCCCTTCCCCTCCTAGTCCCGCCGGCCATCGCGCGCCTCCGTCATCCGAGGAACAGCGCCCGAGCGCTCGCTGCCGGCCGCGCCCGCAAGGTGTTTGACAAAACGCCTACAAGGTATGTATTGCTCAAACTTCATGAATTTGATGCATGTTTTGAATTGTAGTTTTTATAGTATAGTATTGAACATTGTAGATGAGTTCGTCGTATGATTCTTCCGAAGAAGAATTTGATATGGAAGAGGAGGAGGATCTTGCAATGATCCTAGCTATGCATATAAAAAAACCGAAGCACGGTGGTTCGGTTATGGGTCGGCAGAAAATTTGGAGGGACAGGATTGATGCCCACAACAGATTGATCAGGCATTATTTTGCGGAGAATCCCATATACCCCGAGTCATATTTTCGTCGCCGGTTTAGGATGAGCACTGAGTTGTTCAGGCGCATTGCAGAGAAACTAGCGAGCCATGACCTTTTTTTCAACAAAGGAGGAATGCCGCCGGAGAGCTCGGGCATAGCACCTTTCAGAAGGTGACAGCCGCTTTGCGTATGTTGGCATACGGTATACCGGCTAATCTTGTTGATGATCACTTGGCTATGGGTGAGAGCCAAGCCATCATGTGTGTCAAGCGCTTTGCAGTGGGAATTGTGCAAGTGTTTGGCGAGGAGTATTTGAGAGCTCCCAATGCTGAAGACGCCGCAAGGCTATTGGCGATGAACAAAGCTCGCGGATTTCCTGGCATGCTTGGCTCAATAGATTGCATGCATTGGAGTTGGAAGAATTGTCCAAAGACATGGCATGGGCAATTCCACGGCCAAAAAAAGGGTTCCACTATAATCCTTGAAGCGGTGGCCGATCAAGAGACTTGGATTTGGCATGCATTCTTTGGAATGCCTGGATCTCTGAATGACATCAATGTTGTCAACCGGTCACCACTTATGAATAAGATTGCAAACGGTGAGTTGCCACCGGTGCAGTTTGTAGCAAATGGCTGTACGTACAACTATGGCTATTATCTAGCGGATGGCATCTATCCAAAGTGGCAAATCTTCGTGAAGCCGTTGAAAAAGCCGGAAGGTAAGAAATATCTTGACTTCCACAATGCTCAGGCAGCGGCTAGAAAAGATGTGGAGAGAGCATTTGGGATTTTGCAAGCCCAATTTGCTATTGTGAGAGGACCGGCTAGATTTTTAAGATCAAAAAATGCTTTGGTACATCATGCACGCTTGTGTGATCATGCACAACATAATCATTGAGAATGAGCGTGGCCAAGATTTAGACTACTCACAGTATAAGCTCTTGGAAAATCCCGTGCGAGTGCGACGGAGGGCTGAAAGGGTAGCCCGTTTTATTGCCTGCTATCATGCCATTCGGCGTCAATCAACGCACAATGAATTTCAGAATGATTTGATTGAAGAGTGGTGGGCATGGCATGGACGACAAAGAGCATGATGATATCTGCATTCGACATTGTATTGTTCATGGACGACAACGCACTATTTGTTGTGTTTATTGCATTTGTTGTACTAAATGTAAACTATTTGTCTGAGTTGTAATGATAACGAAATTGAACTATTTATCGTTGATTTATTTGTTTGTTTGATCATTTTTGCTATGTATATGTGATTTGTGCGGCGCGCGCGCTGTATTTTTGTGCTCTACTGGAGCGGCGCGCACGCGCGCTGCATTATCGCGCGGCTACTGGAGCCAGCGCAGGCGGGCGCGCCAAACCAGCCGAAGCGCGCGCAGCAAACAGGTTTTTTGTGCACGGCGCATAGCGCAGCTGTTGGAGATGCTCTCACAGCTCCCGGAACCGAAACCCTCGCCGTCACCTCCCCCCACTCCCCTCCTCCACCGGCGGCCATGGACGACTCGCATGTGATCCAGGGCATCTCCTGGAGCAACATGGTCGCGCACATGAGCGCGGCAGCATGGACCGCGGCATGGTGTATTTCGGCTATAACCTCATTCTCCACTACGTGTACAGCTACCTCCCCGACCCACCCGTCTCCCCTGCCGCCACCCTCTCGCTCTCCGCCGCGCCGTCGCCCCCCGACGACGTCGACCGCATCAGTCGCCTCCCCGACGCAGTCCTCCGCGACATCGTCTCCCGCCTCCCCGCCAAGGACGCCGCGTGCACCGCCGCCCTCGCCTCGCGCTGGCGGCCCCTCTGGCGCTCGGCTCCTCTCACTCTCGCCGACAGCCACCTGCTTCCGGACGGCGGCGCGGGCGGCCAGCTCGTCATCGGCGCCGCCTCTCCCCGCGCCGTCACCGCCGCGGTGTCCCGCGTCCTTGCGGCGCACCCGGGCCCTTTCCGCTGCGTCCACCTCACCCGCAGCACGATGGAGGAGCACCGTGGCGAGATGGCCCGCTGGCTCGACATCCTCGCCGCCAAGGGGGTCCAAGAACTCATCTTTGTCAACCGCCCTTTGCCGATTGACCTGAGCCTCCCCGCCACCATCTTCAGCTGCGCCTCCCTCACCCGCCTCCATCTCGGCATCTGGAGGCTCCCGGACACCGCCGCCGTACCGCTCGCCGCCAGATTCCCCAATCTCAGGGAGCTCGGCCTCTATTGGAATTCCATGGAGGACCGTGATCTCGACTTCAGAAGCCCCGTCCTGGAGTCGCTCTTCATCTTGGGATTCCAGAGCGGATTACGCCTCGGCCTCGTCAACCAGAGCCCGCGGTGCATTCAGCTCGGCTTTTCCTTCCCGGAGGACATCGACTTGGTGGCTGCCCCTCGCCTGGAGAGGATCTTTCAGTTCGCCGAGCTCACCGAGTCCCCCAAGATGAGCAATGGCCGCTCCACCAGGAAACGCTCTTCTGCGATCAAGATTGGCTCTGCTCCTAAACTGCGTGTGCTGGGATACCTTAAGCCAGGAGAGCAAGAGCTGGTGATCCTACTTTAATTTGCATGTGTGGATGTGCCGTGTCAGTTAACAATGCTAATGTATGATCCTCTGTCCTTGGGGTGAATTGCAGGCTGGGAGCAAGGAGAACATTGTCCCTAGTGTGCAGATTTTGGGCATAGAGGTGCAATTCGGTGTCCACAATACTGTCAAGAAAGTGCCTGGCTTTCTCAGATGCTTCCCCAACCTGGAGACGCTCCATGTCCAGGTAAATTTGGTTAACTTTGAATGAGATACACTTGCTGCATTGGCATTTTTGCAATATTGGAACGGAGGGAGTACATATGTAGCATGGTCAGAAATGTGAATCAGACTAATTATCTAATTAATTACTCGCCTGATCATAGATTCCTGATCGATTTCATCTGCAGTCCCGCCCCATATCTGAAGAGTCCATTGGCAAGGTCAATGTCAAGTTCTGGCAGGAGGGCGGTCCCATCAAATGCATCCTGCAGAGCATCAAGAAGGTGTTCTTCTATGAGTTCCGAGGGTCGAGAAGCAAGGTTTCTTTCCTCAAGTTCGTCGCGGAGAAGGCTCGTGTGCTGGAGCAGATGGTGGTTGTGGTGGGCATAGAGTGTTTCTCCCCGGGGGATGATAATGTGAGGGTGAAGCTGAAGCCTCTAACCAGCGCAAAATGGAACAGCAAAGCTTGCAGTCTCGAGCTCTTCAAGAGCCCGGTCACTGACGGTTCAGGTCCTGCTTACAACCACACACTAGCTTCTGATTTTGAGTTTGCTGACCCTTTTGACCTCAAGTACTACAAAAGAGCAGAAAGGATCTCTGTAAGTTAATTGGTAGTGCCGCGCCGTGCCGCTTGTTCAAGAAGACTGCTGGTACCTTTCTGGACTTTGTGTTGTGTAAGCAGCTAAAAACCCTACTTCTCTGGCAAGCTGTGATATGCTTTCTGCAGGCAGTGTATTATATGATGAGGATGTTTGTGCCAAATTAAGTCCTATTATGTGGCTGGATGCTATGTTGTTTTTCTGGCTTGTCCGTTGCACGGTTATCGCGTTTGTTTGTCATGTTGTTACCTATGCATAGTCAAAGATGAGTTCAGTTGACAAGGCAGGAAGTTGCTGCTTCCAAATGCTTTTCTTTTCCAGCTTAAACTGTCACAAATCGTTTGCTGTAATTGCTCTACTGTAGAATCTAAACTATTTACATGGAAGTGTGTGATAGAACTCTTCATGAGGCTATAAGCATGCAAATGCATCCTCTGGACGTTGTTCTGTTGCAAATGCATCTGGAGTAGATTGAGATTTCATTCTGCTTCGTTGTGCTCTCTGTAGAATGCTTCTAAATTTTCTGGTTTGTCCAACTGCAATTTCTTGACTTGCTATGCATTAGGTTGGTCTCACCTTCATGGTTTGTTGCACACTGTTTGTTTGCCAAGACTGTTAGCTATGCATGGTGAAAGATCACTTCAGTTGTGCTGCCAAAGAAGACGCAGGCACTGTATTACAAATGGTTTGCTGTAACTGATGTATCTGGACATTGCAACAAGCAGGACATATGGACATAGTTCAGTTGCAAATGAATCTGAACAAGATAGATATTACGTTCTGCTTCGGCGCGATTGATCCCTTTCGTGCTTCTCCCTGTAGGATGCCTCTACATTTCAATGTATCAATCTGAATTCCAAAAAATGAACTTAAAAGAAAACCCTGTCATTCATTGACTTCCTCTTTCTCCAGCAGTGACACATCAAACAGCATCTTATACCGTTCGTTCACTCGTGAACAGAATAACATAATTGCACACACCAGTAGAAGTTTTGATTCAGTTGTGGAGGTAAAGAGGGAGCAGGAAGTTGCTGCTCCAATATGTTTTTTGCCTAGCTTAAACTACTGCAAATGGTTTGCTGTAACTTCTTCATGGATACAAGTCTTTGCGAGGCTATCAGCATGCAAGTTGCTCAAGTTGTAAAAAAACAAGCAGGCCATCTGGACATTATTCAGTTGCAAATGCATCTGCATTAAATTGAAATTTCACTCTGCTTCGGCATGATTCTCTATGTAGAAGCGTAGAATGCTTCCAAATTTTAATACACTGATCTGAATTCCGCGGGGGGGAGCTATCGTAGTATACTTCTTTCTTCCGGAAGCTACACTCAGACAGCATCTGATACCCTCTACCCATTCACAGAATTAACATAATTCTACAAACCAGTGGAAGGCTGCTGGTAATAAAAATCTTGAAGCCAAGGTCACATGCTGGCACTTGAAAATGGCAGAATGGACTCAGAAGTTGGATTCATTCATTTCCTATGACATTTCTATTCCTATGATTTTCTTATCCTATGAATCAAAGGAGGCCTGGACATGTTTCAATTTGGTTATTTCCTGCAGGTTTTCTATCAAGCATCCAAACAAAGAGTTGATGATGAGGTGCAGAATTCAAAGATAAGGCTCAATTGATCTTCTTAGATGCGCCTGGGAAGATTGTGGTCTTCTCATTCTCTTTGAAGCAATATAAAAACTGCAGGGAGGGGAGGAGAAGTATCATGCTGCTCAGAAAAAGATGTGCGAAATCAGCATGAATGAATTTGACCAGGTTTACAATTACAAGCTCTTACATGTACATTTTGAATAAAAGGTCTTACTTTCTACTGTGATTTGGCTTACAATCCTAAAAATTTCCTCGAATGTTGCCCTCTTGCTGTATATAAATGAACTATTGTACTTTATAAACTGAAATCTGTGCAATGGTTGTTGATTGGAATTTTTTTGCTTAAAGGCTTTGTATTTCCTTTCTCTCCTTTGAACCATAATGAAGATGATTCTGTCAACTTTTTTAATCTGATTCATCTTTATTTTCTCATTGTCATATGAAGTCCTAAATATCAAAAATTAACATTGACTGCCAATATTTTACAATTTAGCTTCAGTTATTTATTGGTGTTCATCTTTTTATTTGAGAAATTTGATATCCTATTTTGTCAGTTTTAGATATTACACTCTACAAGCTAATATCTTTGGAGATATTCACAAGACTTCTGAAAACTTGTTATGTTTGTTGAAGTCATTCTTTGCAACACCTTCATATTTTTCTCTATGTGTTGTAGTTCACCTGAAATCATTCTCATCAAAGCATCTCCTCGTGTCCTGTCACTTGTCGTTGAATGCATATATACATGTTGTCCGTATCTTCTATGGAAGCAACCAAAATGGTTATCGGCTTATGTATTGAAACAGTGAGATAATCATTTACGTACCTTGTGTTTTGGACAAAAGTTTTAATTTGTTTCCATACTCATGATTGTGCCAATGGCTGAACTCATTCTTGTAACTTGAAGCTAATAGATAATGTTTGTATATTATATTTTATATATGCAACTGATGTGAACCACGTTGCAATAGATCGTTTTCAAGTTCGTTGTCAAAAATAATAGCTAGTCCCAACACAAGTTGTTTACAGGGTTTTTTAGTTCTCGTTCTTTGTAGATGCATGTTCACTATCAGTCAGAAGTTTTTCATATTCAAATATTGTGCTTATTCCATATTTCCTTCTCTAATGCCTTCCATAATTATGTAGATTTGGATACTTTAGTTTTTGAGATAATATCTCATGTACTTTATTAAAAAGTTACCCAAGTGAGTTATTCAAGGTTTTGCCTGTTTTTTTTCCGACATGCACGTGATCAAGAATTTGCTTGCCACTTTTCACCTCACATTTTCCCTTCATTCTTTTCAATTATAATTAATGGATACTGTTTATTTCAGAATTTTTATAATTCGTTAAGCTTTACTAGATAAAGAGTGGATGCTAAAACATTTACTGCTAAGTAGTGATATGTATGTGCGACACAGATCTTTGGGGCTCGGGGTGCCAACGTACCCAAATTGAAAAAAAAAATTAGAAAATTCAAAAGAGTAAAAGAAAAAATCCTAATTTCTTTTGAGTCAAACATGATCACGTGTTACACTCGTGTGAAAAGTTTCACGAATGAATGACTTTCATGATATGCTGGGCGAAAAAACAACATTGGCACTATATATAAGTTACTCCCTCCATAAACTAATATAAGAGCGTTTAGATCACTACTTTAGTAATCTAAGCGCTCTTATATTAGTTTATAGAGGGAGTACTATTCACGCTTTTTATACTCACAATTTTTTTTGTCTTGGCCCTGGAGTCGGTCAAAGATAATCCTTCGCAAGAATTTTCACATGACTATAATTTCTAATCATGTTTGATTCCAAAAAGTTCAGGAAATTTTGACTCTTTTTGAAATTTCTATTTTTTTTCAATTCAAGTCCATTGGTGCCCGAAACCTAGTAGGTATTTCCGTATGTAGTTGTGGGTGTCAGTTAGCCAACCTATGGTTGGATGGTTAGGAGAACAGTGATATCCCCAGCCCACCAGAGTTGAAGTTCTAGACTTGACATTGATGCTTGCATTTTCCTCAATTTATTTCAGGCCATCTGATGATGTGCGTTCAGTCGGAGGACGTTCAAGTCGACTATGAAGGCGTCTATGACGACTTCGTCAATCTCAAAATGATGTGTCGGCTCAATCTCTTAGATGTTCTCATAGCGGGTAGAGTGTGCGTGCATGCATTCATAGGGTTGAGTGTATGTGCATATGTATGAGCGTCTGCGTCTATACTGTGTTATAAAAATTGGCTTTTCTCTCTATCATATAACATCTTTACAACAGAAATCAAATTGAAAAATGGTATATGTCATTTATCCTATAGCCAACCATGCATGTAAATCCCTGCATAGAGTATTACCATCTTTTGTATTTATGAGGGAATCTTTTGTATATTTGCAGTTCCATATGAAAGTATAGGTTTGGTTGCGCCACCACAAGAAAATAAACAGAGCCCAGTATAACTAAAGAGGGCAACCCAGTGGTCAATTATGATACAACCTAAAAAAAATAACCCACGAATAAAGAACCACGATACAACTTCTAGTGTTAGAGCATCTCCGACAGCTCACAAAAAAATCTCTCCCAATAACACTTTTCTGGTTATTAGGGATGAACGCTCCAACAGTTCCGCAATAGAACTTTCCCAATAACCAACCTAGCATATGGGGCCCACTTGTCATTTAGTTGGCGATGGTGTGGGAGTGCTCTAGTGGCTATGGTGACGGTCCAACGGGCGGCGGTGACAGCATCAATGATTCGATGATCTGATGGCAGTAATCGGACGGTGATGACAACTGTGTGGCGATGGTCTGTAGGCAGTGGTTGTCTAGTAGTGGTCCAACAACGGTGGCGACTTTCAGTAGTTGTCCGGCAGAGATCCTACTCCGGCGATGGCTATCCGTGTGCGGTAGGAGCGGTGGTCTAGGAGCAATCTAATGACGATGACGGTGTTTTGGCAGCGGTCCGATGGTGGTTCGTTGGCCATTTATGGTGGAGCGTTGGCGTGATATTATTGGAGATCATATTCGGAGAGGGTTAATTCCCCCTCCATTCAGGAGAAGTTGGCCTGTTTTATTGGTAATCATCAATAATTTATTATGAAAACGGGAGCTGTTGGTTGTGCTATATTTTTTGCTCAACTCCCTAGTATGAGGAAATTATCTATTACTACTTATGAAACCATAAGTTGATGAATCCTAATGATATGTATCATTCAACCACCTATATCCAACATCAACGGCAGAGCTTAGTTGGGGCCAGCAGGGGCCATGGCCCCCCAGCCTGACTACAAAACCTGAAGAAATTTTTTGGGGGCTGTTTCGATTAGATTTATTTAGCTTTTGCCCCCCCCCCCCAAACAACCATATTTGCTACCTCGCCCCCCCTGAACATCCTATCTAGCTTCGCCACTGTCCAATATCTCACGCTGCTCCAATAATGTATTCCTCACATCAATAATAATTTGGGAAAATGTTAATTGCATTAGTTGTAATGCAGAAATGACATTAATTGCATTCAATAATCAACATTCAATATGGTTAATCTTGGAATATGACCCTACTACTTATACTAGTTAATTGCCCGTGCGTTACAATGGGCGCACACATATTTTAGTGGCTCAACATTACTTATATTTGACACATGCCTTACATCCACAATATTTTGGATTTTAATAAGATTTAATTTGCTTTGAGTATGGGTAAGGGAATGCAAGTAAAATATTGATTAGTTGAGGTTTTTGCTAAGATTTGATTTGATTTGGATATGTGTAGGTGAAGTAAAGAGACGTTTTGATTTTTCTTGAGATTTTGGGAATATTTGATTTGATTTGATTGAGTTAATGCAAGGCGTGATTTGGAAAAGTACTGATTTGGTTTAGATTATTCCAAGTTACTCTATTTATGTTGGTTTTTATATTGTGTACATCGGTTGAGAGTACCCAAAAAAAGAGAAAACTAAGGAGGAAGGGAGTG